GACAAGTGTTCTGTCGTTAGCAAAGCAATATATTGGATTCTTGTTTTTTTTAATAAGTCGTTGATATACAATAAAAAGAAGGCTGGAGACAATATGGATCCCTGGGGAACACCAGCGTTGATGGCGAAGGTATTCGAGAGATATCCATCGATGGCCACTTGCAGGGAACGTTCTTTTGAGAAGCTGGAGAGTCATACACCTTAGAAATATCAATCGCAACAGCTCTTTATTCTCCATGTTCTCGACTGCGTTATTCCAAATATGGCTGACATACGATAGAAGGTCGCCTGTTGATCTGTTTTGTGTCTTATTCCAAAATATCTGAATGAGACCTTTTTCATGTTCATATGGAAGTAATTGTTTCGAAAGAGTTTTTCTTTCATGTATTTCAATGTTTATATGAAAGTAGTTGTTTCAAGAGGGCTTTTTCTTCCAGTTTATGGCTGAAAGTTACTTCTTTGCATGATCTGAACATCTTTGTGAATAATTCAATTTGAAATTAATTGCTTTCTTCTTTTTTTTGAAAGATTCCCACATTTATTGTATAATGAAGTCAAAACTATTCTTTTCCAAAAATTAATCACTCCTAAAAATATACCACTTCTAACAAAACTATCCAATACAGTTTTTTGAGAATATAAATCCGAAACATGAGGATAATAAACGAAATAGAAAATGTTTATGAATACCAAACATACAGTATGTATCAGTAAGAAGGAATCATTTGATAAACTTTTTTATTGTTGACATGGTGGGAAAATAGTTATTCATAATAAAAAGAATAAGTTCTTTTTCAACACTGACTATTTAAAATTAGTTACTGTCACTCTTTCGTGAAAAAAACTGCTTTATGAGTTTCATTTCATTGTCGTGAAGTTAATGTTAATTGAAAATATTAGAAACAAATCATATCTGCTTGAAAAATATTCAAATTGAAATGAAATTCACACATTTCCCATCCACTGCACGAATTAAACTGAGAAGTTTTTCATTTACATTCATGGTCAACCACTTCAGGAAGTATAAATATGTACAATCCGGTTTATCTACTGTAGATTGAGAAATAGTGAATCCCAGAGTACATAGAATATAACAAAACGATGAATGATAAATATATCAATTTCATTTCAAAGTTGTGAAAAAATCCTTCGTGACCATAGGTATAATAACTAACCCATTGTTCAATTCATTTCACGAATATCATCGAATACAATTCTGAAACAATTAGTACACTGGGATAACTAAATCTACGATTTGAACATCATTGTAGCTTACTAGAAATATTTGACATATTTCGAGAGAACAGTTTTATTTCTCAAAATATTATTTGACCTATTTTTTTACGAATTAATATTTTTGCCTTATTGGATAATCCTCTTATTTTCAATTGAATTCCAAGTTATTCATCTCTTACTTGAATTATACCGGGTTTCAAGAATCTCAAAGTCCCTTTAATGAATATTATGAGATGCAGAATTTTGTTTATAAATAAATGAACACTTTGAGTGGTTTCACAAGTTTTTCCATTATTAATACACTTGTTATATTTCTTCCTGAAACTTCGATATATGCTCCATTCAAAAAGTTAGGCCATTTTTGAGGTAACTCAACGTAGGGAAGGTGTTAGGTGCGGAAGATAAATTTGACAGTTATTAGTCCGGTCAAATTAGACTAAAAAATAAGAGTGAAGGTACATACACTTACAACAAGCTGCAAATGCGTGTAATTGTTTAAAACATAGTTAAAAATAAGATTTTAAAATTCCGAATGATTGCGATGCCTGTAAAAAAATTATTCGAGGTCAAAGGTCAAAAATCTCGAAAACAATTGTTTTTTCGCGATTTTCAGGAAAACGGTAAGTTTTATCATAAAATAACTTCGAATAAAAATTGTAGATCACAAAATTCTCTACAAAAAATGTATCAATACTTTTTTTTCTTAGAGCCACTGTTTTTGAGATACGACCAGACAAAAAGTTGTAATCGTCATTATATGCATAAGTATCATCTGAAGCTGAGTATCATCATGATTGTTATGTTTTTTTCTTGAAACCTTCCACTGGGGGTGAAGTTGGTCGTCCTAAAGACGAAGCTATGGATCTGGTAATCGGGCAAATATTTATTTACATTGAAAACAGTGATGACTGTCAGTTCACTTTGAATGAATTGGGTAATTTTTGCAAAACTACAAACTTAGATAACAGGAAGTTAAAGATACGCCTAAAACTTAAGAAGTAGGGGGATAAACTTATCACTGAAAAATCGGGAGCATCAACATTTATATGCTTAAAAGACAATTATCATGATATTTTGAATCAAGCTTGGTAGGAAAAAAAATGAATAAAAAAGAAGAACGATTCAGAATTCTAGAAGCAGCAGCAGCTATCATTCGCGAAAATATTCAAGCCGCAGTGTTTGATGATTCTAACTACCCTCCACTAGGTCGCATGTTTGAAGATTTAAACAATGAAATTCCTGAGTCCTTGTCATATTTTACCGAACGAGTGATTTTGAAGAATAAACGATCTAATTTAGATCACTTAAAATTAGTATGCACAAATATTTGCCATAGTATTATGACTGCGGTTCGACCAAGGTCTTTTAAGTCTAAATTACAATTAGGCCNCTTGGCTATCGACTGACCATGATACAATAATGTACGAAGCCACAGCAGTTCTTCATCGTCTTCCTCATGTTGTACCGCCAAAAAGTGGCACACTTATTCAATACTTTGCAGACAATTCTGATATCAATGTGAATACTTCAGATGGTTGTAACACGCTTCACATAATGGGTATTATTCAAGTTGTTTTTTTCATCTCTGTTTATTCTCTGACGTATATCCAATATTGAAGCAGGTTCAGTTTCATACACCTTTTGCTTCAAATAACCCCATAAAAAAAGTCCTGAGGTGTCAAATCTGGCGAGTGGGCTGGCCATACTGGAGGACCTCGACGGCCAATCTAACGACCGGGAAAAGTAGTATCCAAATAGTTTCTTATTGATCTAGAGTAATGTGGTGGTGCTCCATCTTGTTGAAATACAATATCCATATCGAATTCATTAGGATTATCTTCGACGATTTCAGTGATGAGAGGGTCAACAGTAGTTTCCAGCATATTCAAATACAGTTCCCCTGTTAAATTTTGATCAATAAATAGAGGTCCTACAATATGGTTTCCCAACATTCCTGCCCAATCGTTATTTTTTTATGGATATTGGATGTGTTTCCCGGAAAACGTGAGGGCGATTTTGTCTGTGAACATTGCCACTTGAAAAAAATGTACAATCGTCACTAAAACAAATATTGAGGTAGGATGCCTTGCAATAAAATGAAATGGTTTTCGTCATGATTTCGCAGAATTCTGTTTAAATTTTGTATGGATGATACATATTCCTCTTCAAAAGTCTCCACACAGTAGAAGGAGACACCTCACAAACATTCGCGACAGAATAAGTACACTGTTCAGGATTTACTACCATCTCACCAATTATTTTCACTTGCTGTTTTTCTGGAATGGACGGATAACCTGGGGGCTTTTTGTTATGTACACTACAGGTAGTTGTGAATTTGGATACAAGTTCCCTCAAAAAATTTTTACAGATAGGACGATTCGGAAAACGTTTATTGAAAATCCTTTCGGTCTCGTGAAAGTTACGTGTCGCACCGTAAATAAAAATTGCTTCAATTTTTTCTTCCAGTGGACGAGAATTGACCATTTTAGAGATTGGGATATCTTTCGGGATATCTTTCTACTAGTAAAATCGAAAAATAAATAACAATATTCTAACTGAACAATGATTTTCATTGTCGTACTGACATTTTTTGTAATATATAACTTAACAAACCTTATCAGGTTGTTGAAATTGCCATATGGCAGATATAAAGAAATATTTCTAGAAATATCGATATTAATGTGTTTGTCTTCAGGAAATGATTAAATGTTGCGCCATTTTGTAGTAGGTGAAGATATTGAGTTCATATTCTAGTGTTGTAAGGTATTCGTCAGGAGCTTCAACATTTTGTGTCACAAGACCCCCTTTCCTTGTAATTTTTTTCTCAGATGGCGCCCAGTTGCCATCTTGGAAGTTTCATCTGTCAATTTTACTTCAAAATGAAGTATTCATAGTATTCCCGTATTAGGAATCACACGTTGAAAGGTAAGACCTCGTTAATCCTTAGCTCGCACAAGTTTCGACTTCTGAGGGTTGTCGTTTATTTTTTTTTAATAATTTCATTATTGTAAAAAGGGGGGGGCATTAAAGAAATGCACTGTATATGACGCTCAATACAAAAAGTAAAAAGTTTTCTAATTTGTACCAACACCTTGAAAACTTCGAGATTGAAGCTGAATGCTATTTTTTGCCATAGTCCTCGACAAAAAACCTAGTTTTGAATAGTTTCAACCAATAACCCATTTTTTGAGTTCGTCAAGAAGATCTAAGGAAGAATTCAAAATCAATGGTTTTTCAAATTTGCCAAAAAACCTTCCTCTGGAATCCACTGTCTTTCATTTTTATGGAATGGCATCAAAAATAGAGAAGGACGATATATCTTCTAAAGCCGTAGCTTGATTGGGAAACGATCACTTTCGATTGTTTTTTAAAAAACTTAAATAGCTGTAACACAAATATGGGTTGATATAAAAATTTGAAACTCTAAAATACTTTGACTTTTGAATTCTGTTTGCTTCTATGGTTGACTAAGAATTTTTCGAAACATCCTCGTATTTTCTGTTGCATCAATTTTATGCATTGAAAATCAGACCCCAGCAAAATTATCTATTATCTCAAACAAAGTCGTTCAAATTGCAAAGTGTGTATGTCATCGAAATTTATCAAGTTTAAAACTCTCTAAAACGCCTGATAACAATATTCACCTAGCCCACCGACTATCAATTTATCAATCAAGTTGGCGAGATCCTCGCCCGTTATCGTTCCTTGTCGCACACTTTTTTCCCATCCTAATTACTTTTGAAAACATGCTGACTGAATCAGCTGGCCGCCAGTTACCTTCCGATGGCGAAATGATAGAGTTCTCAAGCCTGACATCGAAGATAAAACAATAAACAATGACTATAACGTTGACGTTTGAGATCATACTTTCGTTCGTGCTAATAATATCGTGTGAAGCATCTTCGAAGGATCTCTGTAAGTTCGGCGATGGTGCAATTGGTGAGACGTACGTTTCGAGAGATGTACCTCCTCAGAACTGCGGGTGCGATCCAGAATTGTGTGTTAGGAAGTGCTGCAAGATGGGATACTTTCTCCGTCGCAGCATATGTACCAGAAACAGTAGTAGCAGCTTCAAAGCTCCCGTATACACCAATAAGACGAATTTCTTGGGAGAAATTGCCAATGTGGAAGGTTTTTTGATCGGTATCATCGACTGTCAGGTATTTAAATTGGATAAGTCGAAGCCCACAGATCAATACTACGTACAGGATGATGGTCGGCTTTGGGTGCCGAGTTTTCAAACATTTTACGAGAATGATAGATACTGTATCGACGAATTGGATGGGCTTACTGCTTTTGTGTGTTTCAACGAAAACCCACCGGAAATTCCGATTAGGCCTGATCAAGAACTCAATGTTTTAGGTAGGAAAACTTAAACAGATTCACAAACATGTAGACATACTGAACGGTAAATGAAAAATGGTTTAAATCCAAACGAATTTATGTTTTGAGCAATAGATTCAGATGACACTGACGAAAAACGTGGAGATGGTTGATTTTCCCCTGAGTGTCTCTAGTACTTTTTCAAACCTTAATTGAAATATCTTTCTGGTCACGAATATCTAATTGGGGAATTTTCTCATTTTTTTAAGAAGCCCCCAATTTTTTTATCTCTGATTTGAGTTACACTGGAGATGCAGTTGGAATTATATCAATCTGTGATCACATATATGATTGAATTTCGTTAGTTCGGACTTCTATTGTCCAATAATATATAATATCCCTGAAAGAACAAATAAAATGAAAAAATGAAATGAATAGCTAAAAATAACACTTTTTGCTCAATTTTTATTTTATTGTAGTTTCATTTCAGGGTTTATTGCTTAATTTAATTGTTATTTTCAGTTATTCATTTCAATTTTCGATTTTCTTTATTCTTTCACGGATTTCAAATCATATATTATATTATATTATATTTTATTATATTATATTATATTAGCCAATGGAAGTCCGAAATAACAAAATTCACAATGAATATAGATATATGTTTATTGTCTTAAGGAGAAAATTGGAAAGCAAACTCTCATTTTAACATAATCACATACTACAATGCAAATAATATTAAATTGAAATCATGCAGAAAGACTCCACATAAGTAACTCTATTCAAGCCGTTTAATAGAAAAGAAGAAAATATTGTTATAGGTTCTTGAACTCTGTTAGAGTATAGGTGATATTTGAGTTATTTCCTGAATATGTCATAACTTTCAGTTGTTTTGTCTGTTATTAATTGAATATTTTCAAACCGTTTTGAGTCACAGAGTATCCGTAAACTAAACTTCCGTTTACAAAATAAATACCGACGTCAGTGTTGATATTTTATGTTTCTTGAATACGTGGCTTACATAAATCTGTTCGTTTTGCTTTGCAAATATACTCAACTACCTTTTTCTGCATTATAAAAATGGCAGTAAAGAACTGAGGAAAACAATAAACTATTCCTAACCTCACATAGGTATATAAGTTTCTGATATTCATTGCTCCTAGCTTCAACTTTTTTAGGTTGACGATTATGTACAATTCCCTCTGCCTCGAATGTCAAATTCTCTCTAACGCATATATCGATATACTTGATTATTTGATCATTGATAGAATTACCTAATAACTGACAGCTGACTGGTATTTACTATTTGGTGAAATGATAGATTTCTCAAGTCTGATATAGAAGATGAAACAAACAATGAAAGTCATTGTTTCGAGAGAACTTCCAGTTTGTGTCTAACTTCTTTACATGATCTACACATCTTTTTGTAGAATTTATTTTCAAAGTAATTGCTTTCTTCCGTTTTTTGGAAAATTCACACATCCACACAGTGGAAACAAATTCGAATAGAACTCCTTAATTCTACACCGAGTTTGAAATATTTCATCTCAGATTCATCGGTATTATTTGTGTGACATAAAGTGACTATATTCTGTTTTGTTTGTTGATTTTTTTACTATCTCTTTCATCGTCATTATGATAAAATAAATGAAACTTTAGATTATAGATATTCAGTTACAAACGCATCACTCACTAGTTTACACAAATTGTACACCGAACATTCCTAATGTATTTAAAGTAGAGGAAAGCTATACAATATAATAAATTGGAACGTATTGATACATTAATCAATTTACAAAAAAGCTCTCTATTTCGAGTGAAAATTATAGTTTTCATTTTCTGATCAGCACCTTTTTGATAATTGTGAAAGATAATCTACTCAATACTTGTCAAAACTTACAGCTTTTCCTTCAATCCACCCGTATAGTTATCAATTATTGAAAAAAGGACATCTATACTTCTTCATGTATCACGTGTTAATGATTACACACAAACTGATTCAAAAAAAGTGATGTACTTGTGAGTCAATATTCATGATTTATTGGATTATTTCTCCCAGTTTAGATCCCGTGTTAGGAATCACACGTTAAAAGGTAAGACCTCGTTAGTCCTTTGCTCGCACAAGTTTCTCAACTTCTGAGAGTTGTCGTTCGTATGGGGGCGACAGCTGATTAACGGAAAAACAGATTTTTTTTCAACAGTTTGTATCTGAAAATACTTCTTTGTATGATCTACAGATCTTCATGATTAGTGTTTTTACTACTCTGTTCAAAAAATAAGGTGAATTTCCGTTTTTCTCAAAAAATAATTATTAATTCTTCAATTTCTGTATTGACCCCTTTAAAGTAGTCCCCCTCAGATATTATCCACTCGTGCTAGTTTTTTTCCCAATCGTCGGAGCAGTTCTGATATACACTCTCTCAGAGTCGTCATTTACATTTTCTCGGCCTTCTGTGTAAAGCTTGTACGACTTGTAAACATTTTTCTGACTCAAAGTACAATCACCGTATGCTACTGTCCACATTTCAAGTGTTTTAAGCAATGAATTCCACTTTTACACAAAATTATATGCGAATTTTTTGATCCATTTTTTGTCGATAGCAGAAAATCGCTGAACACGCAAAACACGTCTAACTTTCATGCCACTTGCCAACAAACTGAACATGCTAAACAGCTAGAACTGTGAACATACAGTGCATTTCTTTAATGTCCCCTCAGTTTTTTCTGAACGAGTCATCACAAAAAATGGAGATTTGAGATGATGAAATTAATGCATGAATACTTTATTTTGAAGTGAAATTGACAGGTGAAACTTTCAAGATGGCGTCCGGGCGCCATCTGGGAAAAAAATAAATGGAAAGGAGGTTCTTGTGACACATCATTTTTAAGCTCCTGACGAATATTTCACAACCCTAGAATATGAAGTCGATATCTTCACCTACCACAAAATGGCGGAACATTTAATAATTTCCTGAAGTCAAACACATTACGAATAACCTAACATGGATATTTCTAGAAATATTCCTTTTTATCTGCTATATGGCAATTCCGACAACCCGATAAGGTTTGTTAACTTGTTTTTTGTTTTTAATAACGACAAAAAATGTCAGTACGACAATGAACATCATTGTTCAGTTAGAATATTCTCATTTAGTTTTCGGTTTTACTAGTAGAAAGGTACCACGTCAACAATCTCTAAAATGGTCAATTCTCGTCCATTAGAAGAAAAAATTGAAGCGATTATTATTTACGGTGCGACGCGTAACTTTCACGAGACCCAAAGGATTTTCAATAAACGTTTTTCGAATCGTCCTATCTGTAGAAAATATTTGAGGGAACTTGTATCCAAATTCACTACACAACCGGTAGTGTACATAACAAAAAGCCCCCAGGTCATCCGTCCATTCCGGAAGAACCGAAAGTGCAAATAAATTGGTAAGCTGGTAGTAAATCCTGAACAGTCTACTTATTCCGTCGCAAATGTTTTCGAGGTGTCTTCTTCTACTGTGTGGAGACTTTTGAAGAGGAACAGGTATCATCCATACAAAATTAAAATGGTACACCAATTAACTGAAGTTGACCCTGATTGAAGAACATAATCTTGCGAAATCATGACGAAAACCATTGCAAGGCATCCTACCTATCTCCACAATATTTGTTTTAGTGACGAATGTACATTTTGACAATTGATCTGTGAACGGCAAAGTTCACAGATCAATTGTCGTTATTGGAGTGACACCAACCTTCACGTTTTCCGGGAAACAGATATCCAATATCCACAAAAAATTAACGTTTGGGCAGGAATATTGGGAAACCATATTGTAGGACCTCTATTCATTGATCAAAATTCAACAGCATTTGAATATGCTGGAAACCACTGTTGACCCTCTCATCACTGAAATCGTCGAAGCGAATCCTAATAAATTCGATATAGATATTGTATTCCAACAAAATGGAGCACTACTACATTACTCTAGACAAGTAAGAAACTATTTGGATACTACTTTTCCCGGTCGTTGGATTGACCATCGAGTTCCTACAAAATGGCCAGCTGGCACTCCAGATTTGACACCTCTGGACTTTTTTCGTGTGGCTATTTGAAGAAAAAGGTGTACGAAACTGGACCTGCTTCAATATTGGATGTACGGCAGAGAATGATTATTATTTGTAGAGATATTGACGTTACTGTGTTCGAAAATGGTCGGCGTGAAATATCGGATAGGCGTTCATATATCAGAAAGTTCAAAGCAACCATTTCGAGTATTTTCTGAACTGACCTCAAGCTTATTACTTTATTAATAAATTGATGGATGTAGCCGTTACTACGTGGTAGGAAATATAATGAAGAAAAGAGAATTGAAACTTTTTATGTTTTTTACCGCTTCAATTTGTAACTAACATTACTGCAGTTTCGTCCTATAATGCATTTTCAAACTTATACATTAAACTAAAATGATTTATTACATTAGCCCTCATATATCCCTATAGGTAATAATTCAGGTACTTAGCTTGATTAGTACCTGAGTTTCAATTCTCTTTTTTTTATGATTTCCAACCACATAGTAAACGGCTACATCCATCAATTTATTAATATTTTATCATAGATACGGCAGAGAATGATTATTATTTGTAGAGATATTGACGATATTGTGTTCGAAAATGGTCGGCGTGAAATATCGGATAGGCGTTCATATATCAGAAAGTTCAAGGCAACCATTTCGAGTATTTTCTGAACTGACCTCAAGCTTTTTACTTTATTAATAAATTGATGGATGTAGCCGTTACTACGTGGTAGGAAATATAATGAAGAAAAGAGAAAATGAAATTTTCTATGTTCTTTACCGCTTCAATTTGTAACTAACATTACTGCAGTTTCGTCCTATAATGCATTTTCAAACTTATGCATTAAACTAAAATTATTTATTACATTAGCCCTCATATATCCCTATAGGTAATAATACAGGTACTTAGCTTGATTAGTACCTAAGTTTCAATTCTCTTTTTTTTATGATTTCCTACCACATAGTAAACGGCTACAT